TGGTCCCTTTTGGCCTTCCCAACACAGCATCCACGGCTGATGTGGAACCTCTTACTTGCCTGCTGCTTCGCTAAAGGTTTTCGTTATGGGTGCAGCAAAATAAGTATCTCTGGTTCACCAATCTACCCTGCGGTTACTACGGCCCTGGCCTCCACCACTCAGCAGGAGAGTTCGAAAATCGTGTCTACTTATGAAGCTGGGCATGGGCCTTGGAGCTGCTTTGAGCTCCGCTGTCTTGTGCCCTCAACTAAGCTTCAAGCTCCACAAGGACCAAGAGCGTCTGTGACGTTCCCATCTCTCAGACTTCTCCCGGTCACACTGTTGGATTCTGTGTCCGAAGAGCAGAGATGCAACACGGTGCACAGGGCACTGCAGTAATTATACCACGGAGAGTGCACTTTACACCCCCCTCAAAGGGCCTCACACAACTCTCCCAGCTCCAGTTCCAGGTGCGCATGAAACCGTTAGACTGAAGCACTCTGGGCTGCAGGGCCACCAAAACGTTGACACCGCTTAACTATCTCTTGTATTTCCAAGGCAACCATCAGTGTAATCTCTAGGGAACATTCTAGAAAACCGTCCAGTCAGATTCCCATGGGGCAGCTCCTCGGCTTTCCCCATTCCTGGCCAAGATGTGAACCAGAGAAAGCAAACTAGCTGAGGTTCAATCCAGACAAGCGAGTAGCGAATACTGGTTGGCAAGGAGAAGCAAGAAAAGGCCTTGCCAAAGGCAGGGACGTGTGTCCCTAAGGTACCACCACGCCCTGACAGATAGGCTCACAATGCCGGGCTACTTTTGAGCACCCATCAGCTCTTGGATTCCCAACGAGCAACAGTGGCTCACTTGCTTTTCACACCTGTGGGTTAGCTACGTGTTTCCCTCCTTTCCTCGATACAAACTGCAACAGCCCACCTGTGTTCTACAAACAGCACCGCCTTCCATCTGCTTCAAAGTGCAATTCAAAGGTGTCACGTCTAACAGCTAAAAACTGACCTAGTGACGCATCTGGCTTGCCTCTCTCCCTATGCAACGCCACCAAGGCTCACTAAAAATCATGATCACACCCTTGGAGGACTGGAGGCAGAGCCCTGCCACTGGTTGGGGCCAACTTTCAGAGAAAATCATTCCCCCTGGTGGCATGGAAGAGCCAGAATTGACTGATTTGCCGACCACTGGGCAAGATATCATATCATCAAGTGCTTTCTGGACTGACTGCTGGTTTACTTATAGATATTGAAGCAGGAGACATAGGGAACTTGTTTGTGGAAGGGAGCTGTCTAGTGGGTGTAGTCTGAAACATTATCAACAAGGTTAATCTGTGCGCTGTTTTTTGGACGCAACAGCCCCATGGACACATCACACACACAAAAATCCACCAGCTGTGACTAAGGATTTGAAAGAAATAAAGGAGAAAATAGCAGCAGTAATTCCCCCTGCCCAGTATGTTAAGAGTAAGGATTCTCTTACCAAAACTCAGCTTCCAGACACAGTTCCAAATCTTACTAAATGGTCACCGAGGGTTCCCGTGCCAGCAAACCCAAGAGATGTACATAGCGTGAGACAGGAATAAGGTACCAGCACAATTTATTTACACAAACTTATCACGTGTAATATGAATTCCGCACAGAGAAAAGTCAAGTCACTGAGGGTACGTCCACACTACAGCATTAATTCGTGTTAACTTAATTCGAAATAATAAAGCTAATGTGGCCAGAGTCTACCCCTTTAATGGCTCTGGGGCTGGGGGAGAGAAGAGTAAGTTTTTCTGGTTGTGCCCAGAGTGGCCACCAGGGCTCCCTGGGAAGGGCTGGAGGCCCCCTATTTCAAATTAAGAGTCTACACAGCACTTAATTCGAAATAGCTATTTCAAATTTGGCATCACTCCTCGTAGAATGAAGTTTACCAAATTCGAATTAAGCGCTCCGCTATTTCAAATTAATTTCGAAACAGCGGTTTGCAGGTATAGACGCTATTAAAGTTAATTCGAAATAAGGGCTGTTATTTCCAATTAACTTTGCAGCGTAGACATACCCTGACTCTCTTCTGGTTGGACTTTTGAGCTATGAAGGCTGTCGCTATGTTTTGGAGCATGACTGACTGCTAAGAGCTTTGTTACAATAATGCCCGGGAGGTGGTGGTTAGTCAGAAAACAAAACCCATCTGCCCACCCTGGCATTTTCCTGTTCAAACCAATAGTTGAGCAGACTGAAAGGAACACTGAATAAAGGCTATTAAGATAACAATCCCTGGGTCTATTTCGGGGTCCGAACAGAACACTGCTGTACACTCAGTGCAGAAGAACACGCACTGACTTTGCTCGCTGTGAGGAAGGGCCCTGTTTATACATCTGGCCGCCTTGGGGCACGTCTACACTAGGAAACTATTCTGAAATAACTAAAATCGATTTAATAACTCCCCAAAATAACAAAATCGAACAAGTGTGTCCTCACTACAGGGAAGCCTCAAAATTAGTCCGAGGCAGGCTCCATTTATGTAGACGTGCTCCTTGACTTACAGTCCCAGGAAGCGCTGGGGAGTAATTAGTCTGAATGGCTCTGGGAGGAGTTATTTCAAAATAGCAGCTCCGGAGCATCCACCCCACCGCTATTTCGAAAGAACGATTTCAAAATGAGTGTTATTCCTCGAGGAAAGCAAGAGTGCCGATTTTGAAATAAGCGGCCCCTTATTTTGAAATAACGGGCTTGGTCGTGTGGATGCTGCACTTATAAATTCAACCGAAGGGGGGTTATTTCGAAATAATTCTCTTATGTAGACCAGGGCTTTGTGATTTAATCATAGAGTAGCTTACCTTGTATGCAAAACCCTGCCAGAATGCCTAGGGCACTAAGCCATTAATCATGACAACAGCGTGCTTCAGTGTCAAATCAGACTATTTCCTGGTAGCTTCAGAGGGGTAGCCAAGTTAGTCTGTACAGGATACATTTAAAAAACAACAACTAGTCTGGTAGTACTTTAAAGACAAACAAAACATGGAGATGGGATCATGAGCTTTCCTGGGCACAGTGGGTCATCTGAAGAAGTGGGCTGTGCCCACGAAAGCTCATGATCCCATCTCCACGTTTCGTTAGTCTTTAAAGTGCTACCAGACTAGTTGTTGTTGTTTAAGTTATTTCCTGGTACTTTGAGGACAGCGAATTCTGTGATATTGCCATACTGGATCCATTTACGAGAACTGGAGACCAACGATTATCTATACACCAAGGAATCCTGATTTATGACGTGCTTGAAATGACTGTGGATTTCTATTAAAGACTAACTCCTTGGCAGTGATGTGCCACACTTACTTACCTGTAATTTAGCTCTGTAACAGTAGTATTCTCCACAGACCCGACCGACCGCCTTTGGTTTCATGTTTTCAAGCATGTGACTGTGAGAGCCAGCTTGGCATTTTTTAAGGGTTTGACCTCTCCCACAAGGACCCTCAGCAAACCTCACGGCATGAAGGAGCAGGGAATGAATGAGAGACCTTTACTGACACTAATGAGCAGTTTCTTTTCCACTGACACCCACAGGAAGCCAGCTTGTTAGAGGAAGTGGGAGCTTTCAGACAGCAACGGGTTGGTCGTTTTCCCCCTCCCTGAGGAATCAAGGGATGTTTCAGTAGCACAACACAAACAAGCGGGAGCGGAGTGAGCTCTTCTGCGAACACATAATGCACATAATCCAGAACAATGGTCACGTGCACCTAACTCGCTTCTCAAATGCACGCACGAGAGAACAGGAACCGCGGAACTTGTGTGCATCGGGGCAAGGGGAAATCTATGGAAGATAAATCTGGAAATCATCTGATGACTGAGCCGACTCTTCTTCTAACCTGCAAACCAGATCCCCTCGTGAAGAGGATGCTGAAAGGAAGTAATGACTAACTTTCCAGGCTGGGGAAGCACGGAGGCAGGAGGAAAGATCAACTAGTTTCAAAACTGTTCATTATTATTGGTTTCATCTTTTACAGTTTGCAAGCCCCTCCCGCCTGCCAGGCTAACACATTCATGAGTTGCAAGGGAGGTTTAGGTTGGACATTAGGAAAAAGTTCCTAACTGTCAGGGTGGTCAAACACTGGAATAAATTGTTCAGGGAGGTTGTGGAATCCCCATCTGTGGAGATATTTAAGAGTAGGTTGGATAAATGTCTATCAGGGCTGCCTAGACAGTATTTGGTCCTGCCATGAGGGCAGGGGACTGGACTTGATGACCTCTCGAGGTCCCTTCCAGTCCTAGTATTCTATGATTCTAGGAGTCCGCAGTTGTCCTGCCATAGGGCCATCTAGAATTTTCACGGCAGCAAGCCAGAAGAGGTCTCATTTTTAAGCATCCAAGTATTTCAACAGCAGTGACTGTGTGGATACCCATTCATTAGCTAGGGTCTCACACAAGGAACAGCTACCGGATGGCAGATTTCCTTTTGGGAAAGCTTATTTCTTTGCTCTGTTTTCTAGCAACTGTAGTGCCGACAAAGATTCAAGATGCCAATAAAAAGCCCTAAGAGAACGCCCTGTCAGTGGAGGCTCTCAAAAAACCACGGCAGTAGGAAGATTTTTACTGGTAAATATGACATTTTAAAAATCAGCAACATTATAGGCATCTGCAGGTGTTTATACCAAAATCTTCATGCCTAAGACATTAAAATGAGCCTTCAGTGATGGAAGGATGCGACCCAACCTCACACAGACCAGTGTATCCGTTCCAGCTGACTGACTGACAGAACAAACTGAAGAGGACAGGCTCTCTAGAATGATGGGCTGGGATGGAATTAAACTTCCGCATCTGGACCCCTCTCGTTAACCCTCTCCCTTGTCATTGGGACCCTAGACAATGCTTATTTCTGATTCAATCTTACATCCCACAGGAGATGAGAAACAAACTTCTTCCTGAGACCAGCTGCCCTGGGCAGGAATCTCTCACAGGACAGCCAGTACCCCCAGCCTTTCTAGTGAGGAAAACAAGCGGCTTAGGGCAGGGGACAAGAAGAGGTAACATACCCGTCCTCAATTGTGACCGAGTTCATGATGATGCAGTTAGTTATTTTAACTCTGTCTTTTATCGTGCATGTGGTGCCAATGACAGAGTGTTTAATGGATGTCTTCTCTCCAACCTGCGTGGACGGACCAATGATGCTGTCAGATCCAACCTAGAGAGGAACAGAGTGGGAACTGTGTCAAACCACCACGGCTGCCTCCCAAAAATTAATGTTCTTCCTAGAGGATCTCTATAAAAAACCAAGATTACCCTCCATACACTTACATATCATGAATCATACAAGCAATGTGTCAACGACAGGCCTTGTCTTCCTGTGCCCACTCAAGACACTTGGGGTATGTCTACATTGCAAAGTTAATTCGAAATAACAGCCGTTAGTTCGAATTAACTTTAAATCGCATCTATACATGCCAACCGCTATTTCGAAATTAATTCGAGCGCTTAATTCGAATTTGGTAAACCTCATTTTACGAGGAGTAACGTCATATTTGAAATAGCTATTTCGAATTAAGTGCTGTGTAGACACTTAATTTGAAATAGGGGGCCTCCAGCCCTTCCCCAGGGAGCCCTGGTGGCCACTCTGGGCACAACCAGGAAAACTTACTCTCCTCTCCCCCAGCCCCGGAGCCATTAAAGGGGTAGACCCTGGCCACAGTGCCGTGCCAGCTCCAAGCCTGCCAGCTCAGAGCCAGCAGTGGCCACCGGGGCCCCTGACCCAGTGGCCCCAAAACATGAGCCAGCAAGCCCTCCACCGATCATGGACCTTATTCAGGTTTGGGGGGGATGCCCCCAACTTCCATGATCTCAGCCCTAGAGGGAGGAACACGGCCGTCTATGGCAGGATAGCTGCCAGCCTGGCCACCAAAGGCCACATGCGAACCCAGGGGCAGGTTTGCATGAAAGTCAGGTTGGTCCGGTGAGACCCCCCCAAACTCTGAGCCCTGAGCTTCTCCGCCCCCTTCTTCCCCTTGCTTCCTCCTTCCAGCTTCCTCCTCCCAGGTTTCCTCCACCCCTCTCCCACCCGCTCTCTTCCCCTCTCCCACCTCCTTTTCCCAGTCTCTCCAGAGGTTCATCCCCCCTAGTTTTGTTCAATAAACCCAGTTTCTATTTTTGAACATACGTGTCTTTTATTTGTCATCAGGAAGGGAGGCTAGGGAGGGGTAAGTGGAAGGACGTGAGGAAGGAATGGGGCATGAGCCCCTTGTGGGGAGGACCAGGGTGGCTCTGAGGGCTCCATGGGGTGGACACTCTCCCGCAGGGCCTCCTGGATCCTGACAGCCCATCAATGGATCCTCCGAATGGCACCCTGCAGCAAGTGCAGCCGGGCTGATGACAATGACTCCATAAGACGCACTGGCGTGCCCAGGGGCAGTTCTGGCTCCATGTGGCTGAGTGCTGTGATGTCCCCAGTGCGGGCACTCAGGGCACTCCAACACAGGACTTGCTTTGCAGTCTCTCATCGAGGTAGACAAGCAAGCGGGGAACCCTGAGAACTGTCTGTCCCTCGGTTCAGGGTCCACTCAGTGTGGCTGCGCTATTTCGAAATAGCAAAACACTATTTCAAAATAGCTTGTGTGTGTAGATGCGTTAATTCGAATTAGCTTAATTTGAATTAACTATTTCAAATTAAGTTAATTCAAAATTGCGCTGTAGTGTAGACATACCCTCCCATAGTTACTGGCTTCACCACATTTTGCATCTTCAACAGAACTTGGCAAACATTAAATCCATCTACCCAAAGGCCCGGATTGTCTTCTCAGTCGAGAGCACATTGACGGGTTAGAAATTATTTGTTATCATATTAAGTAAAGCAAAGATCTCACCACAGCACATCTGTACAGTGCTTCTCGGACAGACCTCTCGCATAACCAGGAGTGAGGACGAGGATTACTCACAGATGAGAGCAATACTTACAAGCGATCCTTCATAGGTTAACAATCTCACTCCTGATTAAAGAGCTTTGCCCCCAGTTTGGAGTTTTGGAAGCACAGCGTACACCCCAAAAAAGGGAATATGTGTGGGAGAGGCACAGGGGACATGCCTAAAGCATGCTGTACAGCTGGAGGGTGCACATTTAAAAGAATAATCTACGCGCTTGTCATCAGGAACCCTTTGTTTGCTGGAGGCGCTCACACACGAAGTGGCTGCGTGGACCCTGTCCTGCGCTTTGATCTAGCCCCCTTGAAACAGGATGAGATCACAGCATAGCAGGGAACTGTTAGTGCGCGCCAACCGGGTTCACATGGATACTTAGTAAGTGACAGGCCAGCGTGGGGAAATTCACACCCCAGCTTGCTGCAAGCTAAATGTTCATGCTGAAACCGGCAGTCTTGTAGCAATACAGCATCAAAAAAAGAACGGAATTCAGACGTGGCAGAGGGTGAGCTATGACCCAAATGGACCTTGAAGATCTGAAGTCTTGGGGAACACCTAAGACCCCAGTATAGTCAAAGGTTCGGATAAATGGAGGTGGCCAGACTGAGCAGCCCGGAGACCGTTTCCTGAACAGACAGCTTGGCCTCCCAGCTCAGGGAGACTTCGGCACACGGGGCCCAGCTGTGTAACTCTTCCGCATGAAGGCCAGGCCATATGTGACTAGTTCTGCTTAGGTTGTGGGGGGAGAGTTTGTGTGAACTCACCACAGCGGGGCCAATCAGAGGGGCTGAGGGCTGAGACTCAGCTAAAACACTTTTCTTAAGAGCCAGCACTAAAATGCTAAACCCCAGTAAGCTTGCTGGCCTTTGGGAAGCCAACTGATTGTGTATCATCGGCTGCCAAACCTCACATCAGCCAGCTGGGCACCAGGCGCTGCAGCGGTTTGGGGTAACACGTTGAGAGGCTCACGTAGAACATGTTTTCAGTGACTAAAGACTGAAGGGCAGCCCTGCTGGCTCAGGACAGATGGGTGCTTGGGTTGTTTTCCATTCCTCTGTTCCACTCAGTGCAACCAGGACCGTCCGTCGTAGCTCGGCTACGGTTCAGGGACAGACACTGAATGACAAGAGGCAGCTGTGGAAATGAAGGCCAAGCAGAGAGCTCCACTGCCTCTCACGCATTCGGCTGCAACGGTCACTCACCAGGGTTCTGTCAGTGACTTGAGCAGACGCATGGACCAACGGCTCCTCTGGACACAGAAGAGCAGGCAGCAGCTTAGGAACCTGGAGGAGGAGACACCAAGTTACAGGTGAACAAGCCACCTCAGTACGTCACGTGGACAAATCCAAGCAGGCTTTTGTTTCCTGGCACTTCTGGGTCGACCGTAAACACACTCGCTTACAGGCGACCTGGTTTTACCAGCTGTAGCACGAGATGCATGCTAAGTACCCCCTCCCCCCACAACACTGGAGCCACTAGCAGATTCTGCACCATGACAGGCCTTTGGCAGGGCTCCTCTGCGCACAGCTTGCTGCTTAGGTGGCTCTAATCGGAAAGCAGCAGCCGATTTGGGTTTGTACAGAATGTAACTCCGCATGCTTTAACGCAGCACAGCAGCAGGACAGACACCACACACACAGAGCACTTGGCCACTGTAAGGCGACTATACTGAAGCGGTTAGTCAGAAGGGAGCTAGTTGAAGCACAGATAAGGGACACGAAATATTTCAGATGTCCTGGGGGCTGAGGGGGTCACACAGAGGTAACGAGGTGTCTGTTCCAGAGAGCAGAAGCTGCAGAGGAAAAGGCTCCCAAATGGACAAACCAGAAGTGGGTGCAGACCCACCAACGGGGTGGGGGTGGGGGGCAGCTGCCCCAGGGCTCAGCAATCCAAAGGGGCCCTGAGTTCCTGGCCGTTGCTACTATAGGCGGGGGGAGGGACACATGCCGCAGTCCAAACAGTGCTGAGGGTTGGGTACCCTGGCCCCACCCCTTCCACCTGAAGCCCCGCCCCCTCCAGGGGCACAGAGCTGCCCCCCATCTTGCCCCGGGGCCTGGGCTGGCTGTCGGCCCTGCTAAATGGGTGCTAGATAAGCAGGCATAGCAGAAGGATAAGAGAGAGAGACAAGGCCCATGAAGTAGCCAGGGACAAATCCCTGAAGAGCAATTTTGAACTGGCTCCCGAAATGAATGGGGAGCTAGTGTTCTAGGCAGGCTGGGTGCAGGAAGCGAAGCAGGGCGGGGTGGGGCGGGCAGGCAGCTGCTGGAACAGGGCACAGAGCAAGTGAGAGGAGAGGACAGAGGGGCGGCACAGCACACAGCAAGGCCGACAGACATGCAAGAACCAGGAGGAGAACAGGCCGGGGCAGGAACGAGGCCAGGGTCGGACACCGAAAGGGCCGGGGTGAGGAGAGACAGGATGGGGCCGTGTGTCAGGACCCTAGAGCTGCTACGCCAGCTTTTCTATGCTGGAAGGGTTTGGAACTGAGCCCGCACTGCGACGAGTGGCTAAGTTCACCCTCTCGGACAGCAACCGTTTCAGGCTCCCAGCAAGCCCCGGCAGACACTGCTGCATCTGTCACTGCACATCTTGCAGGCTGTCTCCACCCCCACCCGGCGAGAGCTGGAGCTCTCTAAAGAATGAGACGCGAGATCCTGACACGTAGGATGCAGCCACAACAGCTCCCTGAGCCAGCCCAGCGAGGCCAGCGGTATCTCAACGGTTAGTCCTCTGCACAGGGATGCTGTCCTCGCTCGACCCACAGTGGTGCGGCCACGTCAGGAGGGATCCAGAATGAAACCCACAGCTATGACGTAGGGATGTAAGAGACTAGTCGAGTGACTACTCGAGTACTCGCTTCCCCCTGCTCCTGCTGCCTCTGACAGAGCAAGGGGGGAAGGCAGGGAGAGTCGGTGCTGTGGGGAGACGGCTTAAAAACCGGTTCCCCCCAGCACTGTCTCCGTGGTGCAGGAGGGGGGAGCAGGGGCGGCAGAGCCGCAGTGGTCCTGGAGCCGGCATGAGCTGGGACTGTTCAGTCCTGGCTCGCACTGGCCCCGGGAGCTAACCCCACGTTAAATGTGATAAGAGCCCAGCATTTAAAACGCAGAGCTGCAGCGGAGGTAGTGAGCGCCCCCCCTACCGACTAAGAGTAGTTGGTGGAAATTCCATCGGCTACTCGATTGGTTAATTAACTGCTATTTAACATCCCTGCTAGGAAGTAGCATGGAATGGCCCAGGGACGTGAAGGACTAGTCGACTAGCCGATAAGCAAATGCTTATTGCATAGTCCGCAGGCTTGTCGACTAGTCGCTCCCCCCGTTTGCTGCCTCTATCAGAAAGAGGCAGCAAGTGGGGGAGAGAGGAAGGGCTGCTGGTGGGGGCTTGTTTTTAAGCTGGCTTGTGGCTAGGGTGTCCCCCAGGCTGACACGGTGTTTCAAAGTGGCAGCGCCACATGGAGCTCAGGATCAGCTCCACGCGGTGCTTTCGCCTTTGAAGTGTAACAACAGCCCTTCGCTTCAACAGCCCTAGCAACAGCCCTACCCTTCAACAGCCCTTCGCTTCAAAGGCGGAGGCGCCCTATCGACTAATCGAATAGTCAATGGAAAATGCATCAACTATTTGATTACTCAATTAGTTGATATTTAACACCCTTAGAACGGCCCATAGTGCCAAAGGCTATTCGGAGTCTGGGAGAGGAGGGGAGAGACGCAGCCTCGATCAGCAGCAAGGAGGGGGTACAGCCATGAAGAACGCTTGCTCAGCTGTGGCCAGGGCAAAGCCCCGAGTGACACCGCTCGAGCAGAGCACAGCGCTGGGGCGACCAGTGAGACTAGAGAAGGCTACAAACTCAGCATTTTTGCTGTGAAAGGGAAGGTTAGCGAGGGGGCGGGAGTCAGAGGGAGTGTCTGGGTCAAAGGAAAGTTTCATGTTTTGCTTTTAATTCCTCTTCGAAGAAAACGATTTCCTGCTAGTGAAGCAACTCCCCCTTGGACCCGCTGCCCACACAAGGCTCTGGGCCTCCAGAAACCCAGATGGGCAACAGAGCCTCCTCCCCGAGGGGCCATCCGTTGGAAGGCTGCTCCTCCTCTCCGGCTCTGCACTGCCCTGCTAAGGCCAGGCTGCGTCCAACCTCCCCCTCGCTTGGAGCTGCCCAAAGCAGCCTTCGAGAGACGGGATCGGAACTGTCCGAACTCCTGGAGGAGGGGAACGGAGACTCAAAGGGTCCTCGGTGAAGCTGGGGGAGGGGGGGGGAGACTTACCAGCCCTGGGAAGAGGCACAAAATGCAGCCGGACTGAGAACAAGCGCTCCCTTTGCAGGGCTCCTCAATCAGTTCTGGTCTATGATTCACCCCCTGCAGCTTCCTCAGGAACCCTCCCATGCGGGAAAGTTAAACGCAGGAAAATCTCCCTGCAGGTCCCCTAGTGACTCCGAGGCACTAGCCCTTTACCTCCCAGGAGCAAACGCGTTTCCAGCCCTCACCAAAAGGCAGAATATTTAGGTTAAAAAACCCAACAACCCAAGCCCTGTGCAGCCTGACCGGCTCAGCTCAACTTTTTACCCAAGCCGCTGCTGCTAAACGCCCATGCTAATCCGGCTAGCAAGTGGGGCTCCCCTAAACCCTCTGGCCCCCTTGCCCTCCTAGAACTCGCTTGCTGCCCTCGCTCAGCAGCCTTGCCTGCCCTTCTCCCCTCTCCGTGCTCCATCACCGGCCCCAAACAGCTCCTCCCCGCCCAGCACACAGAGCACTTATGCCCACACCTCCGGGGGTTCTGCCCTGCCCCCTGCTCTGATCTGCATCCACTCACCCCATCCGTCCCAAGCAGATCCCACAAACAGACAGGAATCTCAGGCCAGCCCCTTCATCTCCCCTCTGCCTCGCACAGGATCCCTCCAGCCCTTGCCAGGCTCCTCAACCTCCCGAGTCCTGCCGGAACGCCCCGGAGCGAGAAGGGAGAAGCACGTGGCAGCAGCCAGGGTGGTAAAAAGCAGGTGTCCTGAGGTCACAAGCTCTCTCTAGCCCTTCCCTTTGATCCTGGACTTAACAGCCTTTTGTCAGCATCAACGGGGACTGGAATGGTGACTGACCCGTGACTGTCTTTGCTAGCCAGGGTGCCTGCAACACTACTACTGGTTTATAAAGCGCTCTCCCTCTGCAGGTGGCAGGGTGGGCAGTGAGATGCAGAAGGGCCACAGGACTTGCCCAAGTGAGTCAGAGCTACAATGGGGGGTAAGCCCCAAGTCGCACACTCTCTGCAGCTGACCGTGCTGCTAAACGGGGGTGGGAGTGGAGGGGTGTGCTCAGCCAACCACTGGGTGCCTGCTCCTTGGGCAGCCCTCCCCCCCAGGAGGGGGGCAGCTGATGGCGCTCTCCCTGTGCGTACCACCTCAGACGCAGATGCTTGAGTCCCACAGACAATCTGTGTTTTTCTTACCTGTCTGTTGGCTTCAATGTACAAGCCAAGAGTGTTCACGCGGTAACAGAGCCCCTCTGTCATGATGTGGACATAGCAACGCACTCTGCCGCCATGGAACGCCTCACTCATATCCCCTCGGAGATTGTTCCAGCAGGATTTATCCGGGGCCAATTCCAGCAAGCTATCCCCCTTCACGAAGCTGTAGATGTCTGCAGAGCACACACGGGCGCAGTGAGTCAGGCTTCAAAGAGGAAGCAACACACTTTGCACAAGGGCTCTAGATACAGAGTTTTTAAAATATCCCTGGAAAGGGGGAGCCGCCCCGGCCCTCACCCCCCACAGCATATGAGCTTTACAAGCACCGGGGCCAATTCCAGCAAGCTATCCCCCTTCACGAAGCTGTAGATGTCTGCAGAGCACACACGGGCGCAGTGAGTCAGGCTTCAAAGAGGAAGCAACACACTTTGCACAAGGGCTCTAGATACAGAGTTTTTAAAATATCCCTGGAAAGGGGGAGCCGCCCCGGCCCTCACCCCCCACAGCATATGAGCTTTACAAGCACAAAACTAGGAACTGGGGCCCAAGGCAGGTTAAGTGACTTGCCCGTGGTCACGCAGGCAGTCTGTGGCTGAGCCGGAACAGAACCCAAGCTCAAGTCCCATCCCAGCACCCTACCCGTATTTTCACAAGCACATTGATTTGCATTGCGGCGCAGGAGGAAATCCACAGAGCCACAAGCTGGTTGAGTGACTGATTATAAGACAGTTACTCCTGATTTACAGCATCGGAAGGGAGATCAGTGTAAACCCCCTAATGCATGCTCCTGTCCTGGAGGGAGAAGGGAGGAGGGAGGAGGGAGGAAGCCTGCATCTCAGAAACAGCCCTGCGATGCCCAAAGAAGCTTGGCTCTCAGATACCTGAAAAAGGGGGATGTCCAAAAAGCACACGAGGACTCCTGGGGCTAGAGGGCTTTGAAAGAGCAGGCAAACAAAACATGGAATCGTTTTTGCTGGTGCTTAAAATGGAATCATAGAAATGCAGGGACAAAAAAGACCTCAATAAGTCATCTAGTTCAGCGTTTTTAAACCAGTGGTAGGAGTACCCTTACAGGTACTCGAGAGAAGTCTGGGGGGGGGGGTATGTCAATAACTGAAATTTGGAGAAACCTGAATTTTTGTTTTAAGTTTTACAGCATTTTATGATTTTTGTACTTTTTACACCCAAAAATTTCATCGCCCACATGGCTACGATTAAGTTGTTTAAACAAATGTGTGGCAATGGTAGAAAAAAGTGTGTGTCTGAAAATTACAGGTACTGGGGGTACTTATAATTTTTTTTAAAGGGTTACTTTATTAAACAAAGGTTGAGAAACACTGGTCTAGACCATCCCACTACAAGCTACCCTGACTGATGGCCGGGAGCGTTTGCCTTCGCTTCCTCTCGCCCAGGAAAACCAACTAAGCAGGCAAATCACCTGGCTGTGCCACCACCAAACATTTCTGGTGCCCGCGCAGACAGCCAAGAAGCGTGGGACTTAGGGCCTGACCCCACGAGTGCTGTGCAGGAAAACCCGCTGGCGTCAGTGGGAACTCCTGCCTTTATTCGAAATCCCGGGAGTCCGACTGCCCAACCCGCTGCCTGAGTTGGTGCCTCGGCTCACCTGGGAGGAGCCAGCTAGATGCAG